CGTGATAGAGTTGGGGTGGAGAGGCAAGGCTCTAGGGAGACCTGGTGGCCTGACAGGACCTCAGGGGGGACCTACAGGAAAGCTGGGGACAGACTTTGAGCGGGGCCTGTTGGGACAGAGAGGTGCCCAGAGAGGTGGTCGCTGCCCCATCCCTGGAACCATTCCAGGGGATGCTGGATGGGGCTCTGAGCAACCTGATCTATCTGGGGATGTCCCTGCTCCCGGCAGGGGGTGGCCTAGATGACCTTGAAAGGTCCCTTCCCACCCAAACCATTACATGAGGCTATGATACTTTCATAAAAACAGAAGCAAATGTCTTTTGACTTCAGTGGTGTCATCCTGCCTGTGTCTGCTCGTGGTGGCCTGGGGACAGCTCACCTCTGCTCTTTGCTTGGGAGGGCTGAGCAGAGAGCTGCCTGTCTGGAGGTCAGATGTGGTGCTGGGCAGGGGTTAATTTGGCCTTGCTGGCTAAGGAGACTGTGACAAGAGCAGCAGCGTGACCTGGGCTCTGTCTTGCTGCATTTCTCAGGTAATAAACCTGTACCAGATGACCCCAGAGATGTGGGAGGAGAGGATCACAGCCTGGTACGCCGAGCACCGGGGCAGAGCAAGGTGAGTGTGTGCTGCCCTGCTGGGTCAGGGTCAGTCCCCTCCCCCTGAAGTGTCACCAGGGTCTGGGGAGCTTGGGGGGGGTGATGGATGAGCGCTGCTGACAGCAGGGTTAACCCTACACACCTCTGTAGGCTCACAAAGGGCAAAGGGCTTCCTTTGGTTGCTCTGCTCATGCCCTGCTGTCCCCTGGTCACTGGTGGGGTCCTCAAGAGAGTTCAGGACTGATCTCAGTACAGGACTCTCTGCAGGGGAGCAGGGAGGGGCTCAGGGGGCTTTTCAGGCCAGGAAAAGAAAGGGAGGTTTGGACTGATGAGAGGTGTTGCTGCATAGGGAGGATAAACCTGAAATCAGATGGATCCAAATGAGACCTCCCAGCCTGGGGTCTCCTCTTTGTGTGGAAGGGGCTGGGAGGTGGCCTGGGCATGGCTGGAATTGCTGTGTCTCTCCAGGGAGCAGCCATGAAGGTGCTGGGAAGCTGCAGAGCAGGATTTGCTGTTGGACTTTATTGATCCTGCCAGCAAAGGCAGCCTGACCCGTGTGATAGCGACAGGCCAGGCTTTAAACCCTGGGAGTGCTTAGGATCAGGAAGAGCAGCCATCCCCCTGGCTCTGATCCTGCCAGACGTTGTAACACTGGCCTTTCTTTGTCCAACAGAGATGAAGCTGAGATGGAGTACCTGAAGATAGCTCAGGACTTGGAGATGTACGGAGTGAACTACTTTGCGATTAGGGTGAGTGCAGGCTGTGGGTCAGGTTCCCTTGCCTCCACCTTCTGTGTGAAGGCTGTGAGGTGGGACTAGTGGAGCCTCGGGGAGCCAGCAGACCTGGGAGATGGCTGCAGTGTGCTGGGGAGTCCCTGCTGGCTGCTGGGGAGGCAGAAGCTCTCCTGATGGGGAGTGCTGGGGGGTCACCGCTCAGCGCCGGGTGGTGACACCAGCAAGGGCTCACGTCAGACCCTCCGAGTGGAGTAAAAGGAGTTTCTGCTCTTTTCTTTCCTCATGTAGAACAAAAAGGGCACCGAGCTGCTCCTTGGAGTGGACGCCTTGGGTCTTCACATCTACGACCCAGACAACAGGTTGACCCCTAAAATCTCCTTCCCTTGGAACGAGATCCGGAATATCTCATACAGCGATAAGGAGGTAGGGACACGTTCCCCCTCCCCCCTGGGGGCAGTGGGGACACAACTGCAGTTTAAAATGATTTCCCTTAGCTGTGCTTGCCTGCCACCAGCTTAGCGAAGGGCAGCTCAGCTTCTCCTTAATTCTGAGCCTTTCTGCAGCCTTCCAGGAGTGGGCACACAAGGGGTCAACTGGGAACTGTTGTCCTCTTTGGTTTTAGAGGACATTCAAACCCATTGTGCAATGTTTCTAAAATAACAAGATTGCCATTGATGTGCTTAGCCCAAGTATCAGAGTTCAGAAGTTGAGATCTCTGCTTTAACATATATATTACTGCATATATATATGCTGCCTGATGAAATACAGGGAGGTATTCCTGGCAAGAAGAGCTCTTGCCATATCATTACATCATCTTGAGTTTTCAGGCTGCTGGGCTTGGCATAACAGCTGGAATCATTTTAGGAAGTTGAGTAATTTAAGCTTGCTATTGGATAGTTATTTATTAAATCCAGAGCGTAAATATGAATCTTCTGACTCATTGGCTGCCAAATCTTGTTGAGAATGGTGGTGAAATGGGCTGTGGAGGGGAAACTGAGCTGCTCAGTGTTCTGTCGGAGAGCTGCTCAAAGGAAACCAGCTGCCTTCATGATAAGGAAGCAAATTAACTTCTTAATTAAAATTTTTTTTCCCAATCTAAACATGATATTGATCAGGGTAAAAGTTAAAGGTTTCTCATCAGCTGCATTTATTGCATGTCTTGTGAAGTTTTATAAGTAGTAGGGCTGTGCTGGAGTTCTCTTTGCTTGCCTTACTCCTTAAAAACAAAGAGTTTCACAACTCTTCAGGCCAGTCCAGCACTTGGTGACTTCCTGAGGCTCTCCTGTCCCTGGCAGAGGAGCACAGTGGAGGCTGTCAGTGTAGGCATCCCCACACAAATCCAGGGATTGAAGCCCCAGCCTGGACAGGAGGCTGGAACAGAGCTTTGTCCTGGGGGAAGGGGCTACCACCGTCCACAGGATCAGTCAGCTGGGTGATGAGGTGACCACAAGTAGACCTGATGTGATGGAAAACAGCTTAATCACTGGGTGTGACAGCTACGTTGACACCACAGAGGGGATTTGCTGTAACAGGGATGGACTGTTTGCATGGAACTGGAATTCTCCTGGCATATTTCTGCTGCTTTCAGTGACTGGGGGGGGTTCGGCCAGAGCCCGAGTCCAGGGACGTTCACGCTTGTCTGCCTGGGTGAAAGTCTTCAAAGACTGGCTCTTAAACTGCCAAAGTGAAACACTGCCAGGGCGAGCTCTGCTGAGCCCTTTCCAGGCAGAGCATTGCACTGACAAATAGACCTGCTCTAATGGACACGGGGTGCCTGCTCCAGCCATGGCTCTTCAGCCTGTTCTTTCTGTGGTGCGGGGGGCAGTGATGGAATAGATACACATCTTCTAAAAAATGTGGTGTAGCAGAGCACTCCATCTCTTCAAGCACCCTGGTGTTAGTTCAGAGTCTTCTCTCTATCCAGTGTTCCCAAAAATATCAAGTCTGGTGATGCCACCTCCTGAGAAACCTGCTGTGGGAAGGGGTGAACCCAGGCTGTGGTTACAGCTGTCCGGGTGGCACGTGGAGTGTAAATACAAGCTAGAGGGATGGAATAATATTGGAATTGTGGAGCACTCTTGTGATGCAGCTGACTTCTGGAGAACAAGACGTGTGGAAAATCCTTTTGGGGAGCCCCTAGAAGTGGAGGTGCCCATGGGCAGGGCAGCAGCTCCTGGTGCTGTGTTCCTAGTGCAACCCTCAGTTATTCCTCCCATGGCTTCTGTGCCACTCGTGTTGTTCTGACCAGAGGAACAGTTGTCTCCTTGGTTGCTGGTTCTCTTGGTTGGCTAAAAGCCATGGGGAAAGCTCTCAGCCTTGTTTGTCTGACACTGCTGACCTCCTCTGAGCCAGAGCTTTCGGGAAGACGTTTATAGCTGTGTTTTTATTAAATGCACCACTCTGATAACTCTCTCCCTCTTTATTTTTTCCTTTTCAGTTTACGATTAAGCCATTGGACAAAAAGATTGATGTTTTTAAATTCAATTCGTCAAAGCTGCGTGTGAATAAGCTGGTAAGTCTACACACAGAGTGATTGTTATTGCCTGCAGCAGCAGTTTCTGGTGGAGCTTTTCCTTGGAGCAGTCAGAGGGAGCATGCTGGCCGGGCTGGGCTGTAGATGTGATTTGGTGTAGCAGTTACTACTCAGTTACAGGCTCTAGAATTTAAGTGGGAGGCTCGAGACAAGCTCCTTCACAGAACCTCTGCCCCCTCCCCTGTTTTTGTGCTCCCTTCCTGAGCTCTCAGGTGACAGCTGACCTGTGAGGTGGAAGCACTTAGTAAGTAAAACTGTCATCACCCTTGTCTTTGCTGCACATCCTCCTTGTCCTCCTGCAGATCTTTTCCATTCTGCCTTGGGAAATAGCTCTCCCTGTTTTGGGATGCTCTGTTATAGTAGTTGCAGTGCTGGCTTTCCTAGGCTGGTCCCCTCTGAGAACACTCTCCTTGCATGAGGATGGAGTGGGCTATGTTGAGCTGCTCTGTTTAGCACCTGTGTTAGAGCCCAGCTTTGGATAGTTTCCTGCATTTGGGATCTGGAGGAGCTTTCTTCCAAATTCTGGACCTTTGCTGTCCTGGTTATAGACTGTCCTGTACTTTACGTGCCATAGGGAAGTGGGGTTTCCTAATGAAGGTCTCATTCATTGCACTCATCAGGTTCATACTGCTGAAGCTCCTCATTCTTTAGAAAAGAATCTGAGTTTAGAAACCTGCTTCTATTGCTGAAAAGAGCTTCCACTCTCTGTGTACCCACCCCTTTGCTAACCCTCCCCTAGTACTGCCACCTCCCTTGTCCTTGAGTGCCAGAGGAAACGACATTGGTGCTCAAAGCCTTTGTCTGAAGATATCCAAGGAAGTTCTAGATAAACCTTCTGTTTGTCCAAGGTGGAAAGTGGGTTTCCTTCTTTTAATTTTTTTTTCTTTCATCTCAATGCTTTAAACGTGCAGTTGGAGAAGGTGCAAGTTCATCTTGAACTTAAAGAAAAGGAGCAGTGAGAACCAGGGAGCCAGTCAGAGCTGTCTTTGTTTCATCATTTGGCCTAATGCCTTTTTAAGGATCAAACTTGCCAGAACCGTGCTGTGCTGGAGGCACAGAGAACAGAAAGTTGGACTCTGCGAGGAGCTGACAGTCCAGGAGCTGGTGTTTGGTCTGGGACTTGACTGTGTCTTGGCTCCCTGCCCTTTGTACGTGTAGGGGAGCTCAGGGGGTTTGAGATCAGTGGGTGGAAGTTCTAGTGTGTCAAGAATACAAACCACCTCATCAGCAGCATGTGTACAGCTGTCTCTCTGCTCTTCACCCTTGCCTGGAATAGATCCTTCAGCTGTGTATTGGAAACCACGACCTCTTCATGAGGAGGAGAAAGGCAGACTCTTTGGAGGTCCAGCAGATGAAGGCACAGGCCAGGGAGGAGAAAGCCAGGAAACAGGTGAGAGACATCACGTAGAACTAGACTGTGAGCCACAAGCATAAATGCAAATGAGCTTGGCAAGGAACAATCTCCAGAACAACATCAAGCCCATGGAGCAGCTTTGAGGGATGGTCCAGCTGAACGTTTCTTTTCAGTAGCCTGCTCCCACCTCACCAGTCATCCTCAGCGGGGCTCTGTGGGTTGCTGGCAGCCTGAGTCCAGCCCCACACTCGGGAAGAAAACCAGGAGGAAGGGAGGGAGGAGCTGATCTGGGCATCCTAAGAGCACATCTCTCCTGAGAGCATCTTCCCTCCCGCAGCTCGCCTGCGCTCCGGAGCTGGAAGGCTTTAGCATGGTGGGGTTAGCTGCTTGTAATTCACTCCGGGGCTGCGAGGGAGAGCTGGGCGTTGCTGAAGCTCTTCCCCTCGTTTTCTAACTCCCCAGTGATGGGATGCAGGCCGGCGTTTTGGGCTGTGCTGCCTGCATGCTGATTTGGGGCCGGGCTCCTTCAGCTGCCGCGGGTCAGCCCGGGCGGTGCTTTGGAGGCAGCAGCGTGTGGCCCGACGAGCCTATCTCAGCAAATTGGCTTGTATGAATCATTGTTCTCTGCTTGTAGACCTTTTCTACTCACTGAAACCCTCGCAGCTAATCTCGGTACCGGTGCTTAGAATATAAATGTCCCTTTTGCAATAAAGCTGCTAGATAGCAGCAGAAGAAGCCCGAGCACCCAGGAGGGCATTATGCTCAAAGGAGTGCTAAGTTAATGGATTGGAGCATGTCCACATGCTGCTGGGCTCGGCGTGGAGACGCTCAGCTGACCTGGAGATGTGAGTTGGCTCATCTTGCAGGCACCTCCTCAGCAGTTCTCCTTTCTGTAGCTTGTGGGGTGGCAGGAAGGGCAGGATGTGAGTCACCACGAGGATAGCCACGCCCAGCTCCCCCAGGGAAGGGGGCTTCTTGCTTCCCATGGGGATTCCTCTGGTCAATAAGGAGCTGGCATCAGTGGAGCAAAAGGTCCTCCTTGGAGGGAGCAGCATGGTGTCCGAGCTCTGGTGGCTTCAGGGACAGGTTTTACCATCTTGTGAGCTTTTGATGCACCTGAGTAACGCCAGTAAGACCTGAGATCTGTGCTCAGCTGGGAGAGGTGAGGGCACTGAGGATGAGCAGAAGCTTATTGCTTTGCCTGAGCTCTCAAATCCAGAGCATTTGTGCTCTACAAGAAAGGTCAGGCTTCTGCTTGGCTCGGCCGCCCTCTCCCGAGCCAGCCGCTGTGCTGTCTCGCCTGCCTTCTCCTCCCTCCCCAGGAGCCACAGTTGTTAACTGGTTCCAGATAAATCCTTTGATACCAGGCAATTCTTGTTAATGCAAATCCTGAGTGGGATGCATGTCGTAATGATAATTAATGAGGGGAACCTTTAATAGGAGGAAGCGGAGCCGCTGGAGCAGTGGGCGTCCCGCTCGCAGAGCACAGTCGGTGTCCAGGCAGCAGAGAAATGTGTCTGGTCACACTCAGTTCCCTTATTAAACCCAGCAGGTGGCCGGTGGGCTGCTGCAAGGAGGTTGGTCCCTCCCCCTCCCCTGTTCATTAGCCCCGTGGCTCCCTTTGGGCGCTGGGCTAGCGGAGAGGCAGGCGGTGGGCACGCTCTGTCTGCACCACACTCTGTCTGCACAGCACTCTGGGTGTCTTCTGGGGAGAGGGGGCAGATTCTGGTGGGTTGTCTGAGCGTGGCTTGGATCTTGAAGCGTTTCTCCTTCCTGCAGACCGAGCTGGGGGTGGGGAGTTTGTTCTATCTAGGAACTGGTGGAGGTGGTCGCACTCTTCGTGACCTCCCCTGTAAAGGAGTGGAAGTGAAGTTTCCAGCGTGCTGGGTTAGGTGTCTGTCCAAAACTAGCAGCTATCGATGTCCTTCAGCCTCCTGCCTCACGGCGTGTCTGTATCTCATCGTTGGGAGATGCCCTCAGACTGCCCTTCAGCCCAGCCTTGCTGTCTGCTCAGCCTGCTGTGAGGAGGCCCAGGCAGAGCTGGAGCTCCTGGGGCCCTGCTTGCCTGAGTCAGTGCAGGAGGGTGCTGGCTGTGGAGCTCAGCACCCGCGGACAGGGTGTGTGGCAGCACTGTGGGGAGCAGCCTGATGGGAGGACAGGGGATTGTCTTGGGAATGGCATGTTTCAGGGGAGCAGGGTGCACCAGGTCACCCCATTTCATAGACTCTTAGAATCACAGAATCATTTAAGTTGGAAAAGACCTTTCAGGTCATCGAGTCCAACCATTAAATTAGCTCTACAGTCTGCTGCTAAATCGTGTCCCTCAGCACCACCTCTGCACGACTTTTAAACATGTCCAGGAATGGGGACTCCACTGCTGCCCTGGGCAGCCTGGCACAGCCCTGGACAACCCTCAAGGGCAAGAAATTGTTCCTCAGGGCCAACTTCAACCTCCCCTGGGGCAACCTGATGCTGTTTTCTCTTGTCCTGTCCCTTGTTCCTTGGGAGCAGAGCCCGACCCCCACCTGGCTCCACCCTCCTGTCAGGGAGCTGGGGAGAGCCAGAAGGTCTCCCCTGAGCCTCCATTTTTTTTAAGATTAAGAAGTTCCCCATGTTGCTAAGCAGAGAGGAGGCAGCAGCACACTCCTGTGCCCCAGTCCCCACACAGTGACCCTGCCTTATCCTAGGGAAAGCCTTTCTAATGTGTGTATTTCTCCTCGCTTTCCCCAATCCCTTTTCCCTAGATGGAACGACAGCGTCTGGCCCGAGAGAAGCAGATGAGAGAAGAGGCTGAGAGGACAAGGGATGAGCTGGAGAGGAGGCTGATGCAGTTGAAGGAAGAGGCAACGATGGCCAATGAGGCTCTGGTAGGTCTCTGGGAGCTTGTTTCCTAAGGAACTGCAGATGTTCCTCCTGATTTCCACTGCCGCAGCATTTTAGGAGGTACATTGTGACTGTCCCATGGCTGTTCCCTGCCTGCTGCTGGTGGATGGTGATCGGGAGGCTGGGTGGAAGGAGGAGGGTTTTGGATGGAGCCTGGGCACCTCCAGGTCTTGGCAGCAGAAGGCTGCAGGCTTTGATGGGAGGGAGGGGCTCTATGGGCCACGGTGGCCACGCAGAGCGAGCAGCTCAGGGCCCCGCTCTGGGAGGCTGTGAGCACCTTTGGGGAGACCTCAGTGCACTCGGTGGCTTAGTGTGCCTTAATTCTCAGATGAGGTCTGAGGAGACAGCGGACCTGCTGGCCGAGAAGGCTCAGATCACAGAGGAGGAGGCCAAGCTGCTGGCTCAGAAGGCAGCTGAGGCTGAGCAGGAGATGCAGCGGATCAAGGCCACAGCCATCCGGACGGAGGAGGAGAAGCGGCTGATGGAACAGAAGGTGCTAGAGGCAGAGATGTTGGCACTGAAAATGGCCGAGGAGTCGGAGAGGAGGTCAGAGGGTACAACCTTGCAGCTGCCTCTGCTTTGCTTTCCAGCCCCCTCCTGGCTTAGCTGAAGTGGTGGCTCGTGCCTTGAGTTAGTCCTTCCAGCAGCGAGCCCTTGGCCTCCTGTCCGTGTACAACAGTGGAGGGTCCCAGGGCTCAGCTGGTGTCTCACTGTTTGCCACGGCTGGGCTGTCCCCAAGTGGGAAACAGTGCTGGTAGAGCAGTGGTGGCCCTCATCCTCCCCTGGGCTGGAGATGGAGACCCTTCTCTGAGCTCTTCACTGGGAGACTGGGGTGGAAGCAGCAGGGAGAGGGGCTGTTGGCCGGTGGGGGTGAAGGTACCGTGGTCCTTGGCACTCTGCCTTCCACCCTGCTCACACCCTGCCAGCAGCAGCAGAAGGCAGCTCTGCTTTTGGGAGATATCTGCAAACACCCACTGCAATCCCCAGAGCATTTGGCAACATTAATACACTTGGAGTTTTTTATCTCCTGGGTGGTAGATCTACATTCCCTAGACAAAATTTATTCCAATATTTACCCCTCAGTTGTTTAGATCTCCATACCATAGAATTGTTTTGGTTGGAAGGAACCTTCAAGATCATTAAGTTCAGCCACTCCCCATCACTGCCAGGTCCCTACTGCCCCACATCCCTCAGCACCACATCTCCACAACTTGGAAACCCCTCCAGGGGTGGGGACTCCACCACTGCCCTGGGCAGCCTGGCACAGCCCTGGGCAACCCTCAAGGGGAAGAAATTTTTCCTTATGGCCTATTTAAACCTCCCCTGGTTCAGCCTGAGGCTGTTTCCTCTTGTCCTGTTGCTTGTTGCTTGTTGAAGAGCCCAACCCTGGCCTGGCTCTGACCTCCTTTCGGGGAATTGTAGAGAGTGAGGTATCCCCTGAGCTTCACCAGTCGAGAGATTTCTGTTTCAGGTTAGCCTTGAGGTCTCCTTAGCTCCTAGAGTTCTTGCTTCTTGTTAAAACTGATGTTTCCATCCTCTTGATACCAGAGCCCAGGTCTCATGGTGCCTTTGGTAGTAAGCCAGTAAAAGATCATTCTTGTTTCCTTCCAGCTGATTACTCCTTTCCATGTGAGAGCTTGCTCAGTGCCAGCCTTTCTGCTTGGACGACTGCTGCTTTTGTCCTTCTCTTCTTGCCTTGATCTCTGTCTTGTGAGGTCTCCACTCAGATTTCAATATGTCAGAGAAAGTGTCCTTCCCTTCTTTGACTTCCTTCTTGTGAGAGGTCCTTGAGCCTCATCTGAGTAAATACTAGGTCCAGAATCGTTGGACCCTGTGAGTAGGCAAAGCTTTGTGATCTCAGGTGCTTTTCCCTTTTTGAATGTAGTAGATAACTGTAGGCAGAGGCTTAGTTGTCAGAAAACTGCCTCTCCTGCTCCAGCCCTGAGCTTCTGAAGTTGTTCTGGCACCTTGGCACACTTCTCCAGCTTTAGCCTTGCTCACTGGTGCTCACACAGAGCCCATGCTGGAGCTGCCCTTCTGTGCTAATTGAAATGTCCCACGTGTCAATGGTCCTGATGTTTCCCTTGCTCAAATTATTTCTTCATTTAGGGGCTTGCTGCAGGACAAACCCTAACCTATTCCAGACCTACACTGTAATCCCACTCTTCTCATTCCTCTCAGCTTCAATCTGATGTTTGCCATTGGCTGTTTTTCTTCCTAGGGCGAAGGAGGCAGATCAGCTCAAGCAAGACCTTCAGGAAGCTCGTGAGTCTGAGAGGAGGGCCAAGCAGAAGCTCCTGGAGATCACCAGCAAGTCGTCCTACACAGTAAGAGTCACCTGTGTCATAGTCCCCAGCTCCCAGTCCTCCTCTGCAGCCTGGAGGAGCCTCATCCCACCATCCCATCAGTGGAGGGGTAGGAGCTGTCTTGTTGCATTGCTCAGCAGCTCTCCAGAAACCCTCAGCAGCACTTGCCCTTTTCATCCAGGCACCCCATGCAGCAGAAGTTACTTTGCTCTTTTTTATCCCACTCCCACCTACCCTCATGCTACAGGAGCAAGGGAGCTGCTGGTGAAATGAAAGGCAGCTAATTTTAAATCAGTTTAACAAATATGCCAGAACTACACTATGCTAGCACACGTGGGGTGTACCAGCTCAGCAGTGGCCTTTAGAGTAGGGTTAAATAATTGGAAACTGGGGCTGGAATCCCTCTGCTGGGAGCCCAGCAGGAGAGAGTTGGGGTTGTTCAGCCTGGAGAGGAGAAGGCTTCAGCTGGGGAGACCTTCTGGTGGCCTTCCAGGACTTCAAGAGGCCTGTCAGAAAGAAGGGGACAGACTTTTGAGCAGAGCCTCTTGCAACAAGACAAGGGGTGGTGGTTTGAAACTCAAAGAGGGAGATTTAGCCTAGAGGGCAGGAAGAGATTTTTGGTGCTGAGGGTGGTGAGCCCCTGGCCCAGGCTGCCCAGAGAGGTGGTCGCTGCCCCATCCCTGGAACCATTCCAGGTGAGGTTGGCCTGGGTTCTGCTCCCTCACTGCAGGCGGGTTGGACTAGATAATGTTGAAAGGTCCCTTCCTACCCAAACCATTCTGAGTCTATGATTCTATGAAACAGGATGTCCTTATTTTTGTTAGGTAGGATAAACATTGTTCAGACCCTGTAAATTCAGTCGTTGGGCATGAAGTGGCCTCTGTGCACCTGTATGCTGGAAAAAAAACTTCCTTGAAGGGAGATTATCCTGTAATTGTCCATTAAGAAGATTTCACACCTTCCTCTGAAGCATCTGGTCCTGGCTGCTGCCAGGGAATGACACTCCAGACTAAATGGCCATCGCTCTGACACGTCTGGCAGTTCCTTTCCTCACCTTTGATAACTGCTGCAGGCCCCCTGGCAGTCCTGGCAGCCCCCAGCAGGTCTCCCCAGCTGGAGCCTTCTCCTCTGTGGCTGCCCCAGCCCAACTCTCTCCTGCTGGGCTCCCAGCAGAGGGGTTCCCCCCTCGGGGCATTGCTGGGGCTCCTCTGGCCCCGCTCCAGCAGGTCCCTGGCTCTGCTGTGCTGAGGACTCCAGAGCTGCCCCAGCACTGCAGGGAGTGGGTCTCACCTCTTCCCCCAACTCCTCTGGAAATTTTTGAGGAGCAGATTGAAGAGGGCTTGAGATAAGTAACTCTTCATCCCTATTCTCTGAAGTTCCTTGCAAATTTGTTCAGATGCTTTTAAAAACATCAGTGATGGAGAACAGTCAGGTGCTTTTAGCTATGGGACACTCAAGTCAAGTGATGGCTACTCAGGGCTTGATAAAGCTCAGCTTTGGAGTGATCCTTAATTTACAAGTCACAAGCATTCTGGGATCCACCACTTCTCTAATGCTGGGTTTCACTTCTGCTGAGGGTGGAGTGTCCTCATTCAAACTCTACTGCATGGCCCCAGCAGCCCAAGGCTGACATTTGAGTAGCTTGGACACATCCCTGGCGTGGCTGTGTCCATCCCTAGTCCAACAGACAGAAGAGCAGTGAGTGATCCCTCTGCCTCCCTCCACCCCTGTGCCCGTGCTGGAGAGCAGCAGCGTGCTCCTGTTCTGCCTGCACTGTTAAATTCTCATTTTGGGAATGTTGCAGCTTTCCATGGAGCTCAGCTCCACCCCGCCAGCTGCGTCTGCCTGCAGGCCATCCACCCAGCACTGCCTCCTCCAGACACGTGGCACCGTGTCCTCTCCCTTCCCTAAAGAGCCTTGGCCTTCCTGATGCTGCTGCTGGTGCCAGCAGGGATGGGGACACACTTTTTTCCTCCCCAGTGGGGTGGCAGGGTCCCCTCCTGCAGATCTCACTCCCCCTGCCCCTCTGGTAGCCCCAGGAGGAGCACTGTGTCACACGGACTCCGTGGCTGTAGTTTTTCAAGGTCAGTGGGACAGCTGTGCCCATTTCCAGGTGACACCACCTTGCTGGACCTTCCATCCACAGTTCCAGCTTCTCCCTTTCCCTGTGGCCTCTCTCATCACTGGGGACAGACTTTTGAGCAGGGCCTGCTGTGACAGGACAAGGGGGATGGTTTGAAACTCAAAAAGGGAGATTTAGACTGGAGAGAAGGAAGAGATTTTTGCTGCTGAGGGTGGTGAGCCCCTGGCCTAGGCTGCCCAGAGAGGAGGTCGCTGCCCCATCCCTGGAACCATTCCAGGTGAGGTTGGCCGGGGCTCTGAGCAACCTGCTCTAGCTGGGGATGTCCCTGCTCCCTGCAGGGGGGTTGGACCAGATGGCCTTGGAAGGTCCCTTCCCCCCACACCAGTCTGTGTGCTGTGACCATGCTGCTGTGTGTGTGTTTGGGGGCAGCTGAGGGAGATGTGCCCAGAGCTCGTTCCTGTGCAGCACTTCAGTGAGGGGGACTCAGAGGAGCCTTCCTCCCCTGCCAGCACACCCGGGGGACCTGAGGAGCCCATCCTGGCCCGAGGGATGAAGCAGTTCTGAAAGCTGCTCGTGTCCCTCAGGCAAATGGCAGCTGTGACAAATGGTGCAAGATTCCAGCTCCTCTGTTCCTTAATGAGGCTGTAATGCTGAGCTGGTTCTGTCCTGTGGTCCCAGTGCTTGTGCTGAGTTGTTCCCCCAGCACTGAGAGCTAGACAGGACTTCCCTCTGGGGAACAGGAGAGGAAGGGGGAGTGGATGGATGTGTTGTATAAAAGGCAAGAAGCAGTTAATTAAAAAAACCCAAACCTTTCCAGTCTCCCTTCCTGCTTCTTTAAAGCTTATTTTGGTGTCTTTTTAGTCCTTGAAGCCCAGGCTGCTTTTGTGATGGGGCTGGTAGGTGATGTATGAGAAAGAAGACCTGAGACAGGTCGTCAGGGCTGGGAGGACAGTTCATTGTTTCCTGGCTTGGCTCTTTGCCTCCTTTCTCATCCTTTAGGTTCCACTTATGGCAAGACTAAAGGCAGTTGTCTCTTCTCTGATCCTTTTGAAGTACTAAGTGTCTGTCTTGGGCTTGACCAGGTTCTTGAGCAGTGCAGTAGAGGCAGTGGCAGCAGGAGGAGGAGCTCTCCCTGCTGGGGAAGCCTCACCACACAACTTGCTTCAGGCTTCCTCTGTCTCTCCTGCTCTGTACTCCAGAGGGATGACCCCTGTCAGCACAGCACTCACCTCTATTAACTGCAGGAAATTGCTTTAATGCAGTACCAGGGTTATGCAGTTTGTTCCAGGTGATGAAACACAGATGGGAGAAGATCTGTGGCCCTTCTATCACACCGTGTCCCACTGACACTCATGTCCCCTGGGTTAGAAATCTGCACCTTGTGCAAGACCTGCCCAGGGTTTTTGTATTGCAATGGCAGGGAAGTGCTTGGCTCTGGGTACTAAACCTGTGCCTCTGAAAGCCCTCAGTGTGCTCTTTAATCGTAGGGTCATGGAATGGTCTGTGGGAAGGGACCTTCTAAGGTCACCCAGTCCAACCCCCTGCAGGGAGCAGGGACATCCCCAGCTAGAGCAGGTTGCTCAGAGCCCCGGCCAACCTCACCTGGAATGGTTCCAGGGATGGGGCAGTGACCACCTCTCTGGGCAGCCTGGGACAGGGGCTCACCACCCTCAGCAGCAAAAATCTCTTCCTTCTCTCCAGTCTAAATCTCCCTCTGTGAGTTTCAAACTATCCCCCTTTGTGCTGTCCCAACAGGCCCTGCTCAAAAGTCTATCCCCACCTTTCTTTGCTCTTTCCTTTCTCTTGCTTCCTCACTGCTGCTGCTCTCTGACTTCTCCAGCAGTTTCCTCGTTGTTACATGGCAGAGTGGTGCTGAGGGTGGGGAGGAAGAGCCCCTGGCACCCCTGACAAACTGGCATCTGCACTTAGGCATTGCAGCAGCTGAAGCCCGTGCTCGACTGCTACAGCTTTTGTTTGTTTTTTTTTTAAAAAACAAAACCCAACCAGCTTGCACTGAACAAAATGCTAAAGGTTGAAGGCCAGCAGGCTGGTGCTGACGGGCACAGCTCCCCTGCCCAGCAGAGATCGTGGAACCTCACGTGGGGAGGGCTTTGCAAACACCTCTGTGCCTTACAGGGAAGGGACCTGAATGTCAATGTGAAGATACAAGTATTTAAATCAGTGAAGTGCTTTGGCAGACCTGTCCCCTTCCCTTGGAGACTGGAATTCGGGTGCCCAGCTGTCCCCTTCAGCGCCCGCTCCACGATTAACGGGCTGTGTTCCGTACTAGCAGCCATCACAAAGAGGGGGGAAGAAATCATAGTGCCTTCTTGTGAGTCTTAACTCCCCTGTGATGCCCCAGCCAGGCCAAGCAGTGCAGCTTCAGGTCCCACCTTCTTTAGGCTTCTACCAGGTCCCTGAGTTGCAGCTTTGCCTCTGCAAGGTGAGTGAGATCTCATTGCTCTTGGGTTTGTCCAGCCAAGGAGCGAGTGAGGGACGGGCCCTGGCTGTTTGTGAATTCCAGGCTGGTGCTGAGGGAAGAGGCAGGTTATTGTGCAGAGTAAATCTTGTCATCACCCCGGCGTTAGAGGCTCTTGTTGAAGCACAGCTAGCTGCAAACAGTTCCTGGAGTATCCCAACCAGGAGAAACCAGGGAAAGAACCAACTGAAGCTCAAGGTCTTGGGTTTTGGAGCAGGTACCCTGGAACCATCTCACCAGCTTTTGGTGTGAGCAGCTGTGTCCTTCCACCCCCCTGGTCCAGCTGTGTCCTTCCACCTCCCCAGTCCAGGCTGGTTTGGGCACGTTGTGTTCATTGTAGGGATCCCTTAAAGCAAGAAGGAACCTCTGGCAGAGCAGTGGGTGACTGTTTGGGTGCCAGGCTGGGTTTCTCCTCCCCAGGGTGAGGGCTCAGCACGCTGGCAGCAGCTCTGAGTCAGACCTGCACACACAGTGTGCTGTCTGAAGCCACCGTGCCATCCTTGACGTGTGCCTCTGCTTCTTGCAACCTCATCTAATGTGCTGCAAGAGCGGAGTGATGACTGGAGTCAGGAAGCTCTTCCCCTGCTGGTAATGAGCCCATTTGTTAGAGGTGTGACAGGATTTTTGGCTGAGAGAAGGGTCATTTTTTTGTAGGGGAAGATGAAATCTGAGGGCCTGGCGCTGTGTGTGTCAGTGGGGGACATCACAGCATTTTGCAGGAGGCAGAAAGTCCCAAGTCCTTGCTCAGGTGTGATAGGAATGATTCCCTGGGTTATCTCTGCATTTCCAGCAGCAGCTCCTGAACATTTGGAGACTGTAAATTACTGTGAAGATAAAAAATGTATCAGTGTGTCTCCATGGACCTTACTGGCACTGGGTCCCAAGTTAACCCTTGGGGTCACATTGCTGTTCTCTCATGCTTTGGGGAGCAGTGGAGCACAGGACTCTGCTCTCATACAGGGTCTTGCATTGCCCCTGTTCACAGCTTGTGCTTTTTAGATGTGATTTAATGGTCAGTAGCTGTCAGGTGTCTCCCAAGAGGCAGCTTCTGTCCCACGTTGTTTTAAGTGGCACAGCAGAGACAAAGCCTAGATTTACTGAGGTTTGTCAATAGATTTTGGAAGGCAGGTGGTGTTTTGTCTCCTCTTTACTACCACAAAGAGAGAGGTCCTAGGGGAGCAATAGCTCTGAACTGAAGAGCAGCCTGAAATCTGAGGGGGTTTCAGGCTGATCCAGTGCTTGGGACGCTGGCCTTGTTTGCTGCTCTGCTTCTGCAGCACCTTGGAGTTCTCACCACCCTCTGAGCTAAAATGTCACCAGCTGACAAAGAGCCTTGGGAGCTGTTCTCCAGAAAGTTTGAGGCTGCTTCAGACAAATGGGGTTGTGGCCTGTGTTGCATCAGGAATATACCTGCCCCTTCCCTTTCAGTGATGAGATCCTTTCAGTCCAGCACCACTGCCAGGCAGAACACACCCAGCTCCCAAAGGAGTGTGTGAGGAGCAGCTCAGGACCTCATCAAACAGCATCACTAGGTAGCACCTTGTACTGCGTGCTTAGGTGTTGCTCTGATCTTACCTCTGTGTTACAGAACATTTCCTGAGGAAGAGTTGGGTGGCCAAAAGTAATTAATTTGTGTCTTCTCTCTCTTTCTTTTCAGCAGTCCATGAACTCAAGTACGACGACGCTGCCTACTGACCTGCCAAGCTTCAACCTCATCAATGAGAGCCTGTCCTTTGACTTCAAGGATACAGACATGAAGAGGCTTTCCATGGAAATTGAGAAGGAGAAGTACGTGGCACTCATCCAGGCTGGGCTGGGACTGGGATTTCTGGGGTGTATTCAGAAGAGTGTGGCCAGCAGGTTGAGGGAGGTTCTCCTCCCCCTCTGCTCTGCCCTAGTGAGGTCGCCTTGGGAGTATTGGGTCCAGTTCTGGGCTCCCCAGTTCAAGAGAGACAAGGAGCTACTGGAGAGAGTCCAGTGGAGGCTGTGAAGCTGCTGAGGGGCTGGAGCATCTCTGTGCCAGGACAGGCTGAGAGCCCTGGGGCTGTGCAGCCTGGAGAAGAGAAGCCTCAGAGGGGATCTGATCAATGCAGAGCAAGAGCTAAAGGGCCCCGGGGGGCAAGAGGCTGGGGCCAGACTCTGGTCAGTGGTGCCCAGGGACAGGACAAGGGGCAACGGGCACCAACTGGAGCCCAGGAGGTTCCACCTGAGCAGGAGGAGAAACTTCTTTGGTGTGAGGGTGGCCGAGCCTGGAGCAGCTGCCCAGAGAGGCTGTGGAGTCTCCTGCTCTGGAGAGATTCCAAACCCACCTGGATGTGACTCTGGGCACCCTGCTGTGGGTGAGCTGCTGGAGCAGGGGGTTGGATGAGATGATCTCCAGAGGTCCCTCCCAACCCCACCATGCTGGGATTCTGGGATGAGTAGCTCTGCCCAGAGTATGATGTCACTACTGGTTGACTCTTTCTTGGGGGGAAACACACACCTGGTGTCACAGACGTGTCTCTGTGACAAGTTTAATCCCACTGAACCCAGCACCAGTCGGTTCCTCTCCATAGGGTTGACCAAGCTCTTGTCCAGGCTGGAAATGTCTGTGTTGGTGGACTGAGCTAACAGCAGTCTGACTGCCAGAGCTCTGAGCTGAGCTGGTGCTTACATACTTGCAATATAAAGATAGCTGGAGTGTGCACTGAGGTCCACATTAGGGCTTTAACCCCTTTTCCTTGGAATCTGCATCATATTTATGTATAAAAAGTGTGTGCAAGTGAGTTTGGATGTGATTGTGAGCTTTGATCTTGTGTTCTCCTGAGGGTGTTCAGTGTAGCCTTCAAAAATTACAAATTTAGCAGAAATCAAAGCAGATCAGATTTTAATCTCTGTAGTAATAATGTGCTTTGTTCATTGACTGGGGAGGAGATCAAAGCAGGAAGGGCTCTGCCATAGTGCTCCAGCCAGGACGTTCCCAGGGTGGGAATGAAACTCCCCTGGATCCCAGAGCAGGGATTTGTTTGGCCTCTACTCCTTCCCCTACCCCACCTATGAAATACCAGACACTGTGCTAGAGACAGACATTAAAAACTTCTCCTGAAGCCAGAAGGAAAAAAAGATAGAAGCTGAAAATAACAGGATAATTCCTGGTTCTGCACCCAGGTTGCTAACTAGGTCATCCCACTCTCTGAAGCGGGAAGAGCTTGGCTCTGCCAAATGCTGTGTGCTGCTGCTGCCTGCTCCGGGACTCTTCCCCTTCCTCGGGGGCTGAGATAAACCTCACTACAGATTTGGGCACTCTGAGAAGGCTTTTTTGTTAGTCTGCTGGTCCTCTGGCCCCAGCCTTGGTGTTTAGTCACAGGTACAAGGCTGGCGTGGTGTGATTTTCCTCCACTCGAGGATTCAGCGTGACGAGGCTGAGTCCTGAGAACGCCTGGGGTTGCCTTTGGCGGGTTTCTTGTCTCTCTTTCCTTTTTTGGGAGAAAAGGCCGAGTCCTGAGAATGCCTGGGGTTGGGTTTGGTGGGTTTCTTGTCTCTCTTTCCTTTTTTGGGAGCCCTTTCTTTCTCCCAGGGATGCTGCGTGTCTAAAAGATACCTGATATTTTGGGGGCAGTGCTTGCTCCCACACAGCTTACTATCTAAATCCCTCTGAAACATGGGAAATCAGTACATCAGGGTCCTTCCTTGCTGGAAGAAGGATTCGTGGTGTTGAGTTGGTGAGCTGGGTCTGAGGGAGGGTGCAGTGGAGTCGAGCTTAAACCACTATGGTGGAGCCTGAAACTGGATAATTTTAACCCATGTCGTGGTGCAGCTTCACTTAGAATCAGGGAGACTTACAAATATCAGCCAGCAGCTCCAGCTTGGCTCTGTTGGTTTTTACAGTGATGTAACTTAGAGTGTGGCTCTCTGGTCAGCTGCCTGGGTCCTCTTTTTAGTAATGAACAATCCATTGCTCAGACTGGTTTTCTGTCTGTTGTAAGTTATCAGTTCCACACACTAGAAATGATAAAAAGAAGGTTTTCCTCTTATAATTCCATTATCAGCTGCTACAACATCATGTGCAGCTGGCCAGGACTAACCTAGGATGGGTTTTTTTTTGGTTGTGTTCTAGGGTGGAGTACATGGAGAAGAGCAAGCACCTGCAGGAGCAGCTGAACGAGCTGAAGACAGAAATTGAGGCACTGAAGCTAAAGGAGAGAGAGACAGCTCTGGATATATTGCACAACGAGAACACCAGCCGAGGCAACAGCAAGCACAACACTATCAAAAAGGTATTGGAGGGCTCCAGTTTGTATCTCACCTGATGAAATCCTTTCAAAACAATCACAAAATCACCTTTCCATCCGGTTTAAGTTGTAATAAAATCCTTTGATCTAGGCTTCCTTCCCTGGCTGCTTAGCTTTGAACCAGGGTGCAGAGGATTTCAGCTTCTGGTGCTCCTGGCGTAGATTTGCCAAAACTGAGAGACAACTTCAGTGCTGTGTGAAGGGATACAAAGGTCTCAAGATCTGAAGGTCTTGCTGAACCTTAGCAGGAGCTCTCCAGGGATGCTGTTAGAAGGGCTCTGCCACCCTGTTGACCTCTGGAACAGGAAAATCCCTGCCTGCCTAGTGCAGCCATTCCCTGTAGGCATTGCCAGGAAGCAGCACTGAGCTTGTCTGGTGAATAATAAGGGCAAATATACTCCTGGCTTACAGGCTTGCAGTAGAAAAAGCCCAAAGCCTCTCTTTTAGTCTGTTCTGGAGTAACCTGTAGTGCAGCTTCACATACTAACAGCAAAATCTTTCGCTAGCAGAGGGTGGGGGAGATGTCTGTGCCCTGAGCTGTGGACCCTGGAACCACCTGCCTCTAGAAATGTGGTTGAGAGGAGTAGTTTAGCCAGAAAATGTGGCTGGCTGGCTCTGCCAGCCCAGGCTCACACCCAACAGGTCGCCACAGAGCCCATTCTTTGTTTTTATGTCCCATCCTTTTGCTTAGTAGCTCTGCTGTTCTCCCAGCTGGGCTCAGTGTAGTGAGGAGCTGGAGGAACAGTGGGATGGGGTGTCAGCCCCACTCACTGCAAAGGCTTTTTTTTTACCCTACAGAGGCTTTTTTCCAGCTGGTTTTCTGCTAGCAGCCATCCTTGTGAAGGATTCAGAAATCTGTATGGCACAGGATGCTGTTAACAACTCCAGGTTTTCAAAACAAATCTCTCTCTCTTTACTACTCCCAGCTGAGAGTTACGTCTGAAATGATTTGAAAATATCAGTTCATGCTGACTTTCATGTCTGGGAGTTTGTGATCACTGAATTAGGGCAGGAAAATGGATCTAGTGGGTCTCACTTCCCCGTTTCCCCATGCTAGCCCTGAGCTATTCAGGTTCCTGTCCCACCAGAGCAGAGAATATAAAAATCGTGAAGGCCCCTTTGTCATGGCAGAATCTGAAGCTGTTCCTGCTCCCAGTGGGTTTTGTTAGGTTTTGTCTCTGTGCTCAGAGTCCTCAGTTTAGAGGGAAAATGCTAGATTTTCACTTCTGGCAGAGTGGAGTTCATGGAGAGCTGATGGTCCCGTTTGTGTCCCTTAAAGGAGGTGGCTGGGCCATCATGTCTGTGTTGTCAGGGCTCCTGTGATTGGGACTGGGTGGTCACTCCTTTGAAGCAGGAGTCAGGTCCTGTCCCTTCCCTTCAGGAGGGAACCAGCTCTGCCAGGCTCCTGCATCTCATCCTGCATCAGAGCAAAGGTTTTTGAGTTATAGTCTGTCAGTGGAGCACATCAGAATGAAATTACAGGTGTCTTTTGTTCAGGAGGTCATGAGGGTTTTTGTCTTTGCAGTTGTCATAGAATCACAGAATCCTTTGGATTGGAAAAGACCTTTAAGATCATTAAGTCCAACCATTAACAGAGCATTGCCAGGTCACCACTAACCCATGTCACTCAGCACCACATCTCCATGGCTTGGAAACCCCTCCAGGGGTGGGGACTCCACCACTGCCCTGGGCAGCCTGGCACAGCCCTGG